CCCTATGATTCTATGATTCTATGCCTGGACTGCACTGCACCAGTGAAAAATAATACAACCTGTTCCACCTTGTAACCATTAAGATATATTTTTATCTGCTTTTTCCACTACAAAAGGACAATGGACAAAATAAGAAAAGCTCAGGGCCAACATCTTTTATTCCTTGAATTATCAGGGAAATGTTATCCGAGAGAAAGTGTAGTTTTCCAAGGAGCACGTAGTATCTCAAACAATATGCCTTATTCTCCATCCTGCTGACAAGGTTTTCTGAAATCACATAATTTTAAGTAACACCCAAAGCAGTATCCAGTATCTTATTTTTCATAAAACCAAAACTCATTCAAATTGTAAATGACTACTATTTGTTAAAATGTGTTTCTCTTCAACTGTAAGCACAGTTCTGAATGATGTCAGGTGAGGCAGTAAGGAGCTGTTAACTGCTGAAGAGATATAAATAGAAAATAATAGCATTTCAAGAGTCTTCTTCCATAGCCACATCCTCTTGTAGCTTCTGCACCATTTTGTCCTCCAGCTGTTTTGGTGGGCCTTCAAAGAAAAGAAAAAGTTAAATTTGAAATGTCTCTCTAAATCCAAATAACTGTTCTCTGAAGAATGTATGTGTCTGTTCTAGGTGAAACAGCCAAAACAGACTGCTTAAAGAGTTGTTTAGGAGTAAACCCACCGAGCTTACAAGTATTTATTGCTAACCTCCATCATCACCTAAAACCACTTAAGAATTGTTTTAACAGAAAAGCTCATGCTGTTTTTCTGCAAAATCTAAAATGCTGTCAACCATATTTTCACCTAATATACTGATCTTTGATATAGCTGGCAATACATAGCAAAACCTTGCAAAAGACTATAAAAATGCATTACTTCCAACAGATCGGTAGTCTTCACACATTAGTTTTTATATAAAGATTTAAGCCCTAAAGAACACTGTGTTGGATGGCAATGGTGTTAACACTCAATAATACTCCCAAAAAGAAAAAAATCCAGGATTGACATTTGATCCTGCTCTTTTGAAGGCCCAGCAAAGAAGAGCAAAACACTGAAAAGACAGCTGTGGTTTGAAAGACAGAGGTATGACACTCTGTCATGCATCTTTCATTTAACATAAGCAAAGCCAAACAGTAGAAACAAGCACTCAGGTCTTTTCTCCTGAATTCAGATTATTTTTTTTCTTCTCTCAAAAAACAAAGGACAAATTAAAACAAAGTTTAAAAATATGCTGACAAAACCTTGTTTCGTATATACACAATCTTAGATTAGAGTGACTGCAAACTGGAAGAAAAAACACAGAACACACTTCTAGGTAATATCTAAATGTCACACCTGTATCCACAGAGACAAAAATCACTGGTCGTTTTTATAAAACAGTAACTAATGGAAACATTGTTAACTTCTCTCTGTTACTCTACTCCACTAACTGTATTTTAAAAAATAAAATCACCTTTACAATCCATTTATCATCTAACACAAGCTGGTATTTGTAATAGCTCAGAAACCAGAAAATTACTTACAAACCCAGCTTTCTCTAATGGAAAAACTCAGTTCACTAACAAGGAGCATACATTATTATATCTGAACGAGGCACAGCTTCTAGTGAAAACTGGTAAAATTACCATATTTAAAAAAAAAAAATATGTTAGGCTTACACTGAAGAAACAGTATTTTCATGGAAGCTCATTACAGTGAACTACAAAAAATCCCACCCATTCTCACAAATAGCTACCAAATTAAAAAAGCAGAATTAAGGCAGAATTTAACTACTGTATTTTATATCAACTGGTGATACAGTCTGTCGAATTCAAATAATCAAAGGGAAGACCTAGATAAATGTGTTAACAAACACGCAGTTCATAGAGTACCAGGTACCAGGTGGAGTTTAAAATATTCAAATAAGGAACAGAAAGGGTGAATGCAGGACCAGATAAATAAAAGGTGCGTTTGATTCAGAACAAAGACACTGCTCATATTTAGTGGCAAGAGCCATTCTCTGTAATCAACAGAAAAATTAACTGTAAGAAAAATATTGATTATCGATATGTACAATTAGTCACACCAAAAATATCCATATTAATCATCAAATCGTATACTCAAGTTAACCTAAGCAAACCAGGTCAAGCAAGTTCTTACCTGCATGTGGAGCACGAAGAAGGTGGATATTCTGTTTGACTTCTTTGATATCTTCTGCCTTCTGCAACTCTTTGCTCTTCTTTAATCTAGGGAGGGGGAAAATGAAATTTAATTACCTTCAAAGAGGTGATGTATGGTTTTAATACATGACTCACCTTTAGCTAAACGTATGTAAACTGTAAATAACTCTAGAAAGCATAAGAAGTATCTGAAAACCAATTCAAGTATACACTAGATAGAAAATCAGAAGACAAGCCAGCACCCTATCAACTCTTACCAGAAATCTGTCTAAAATTTAAGTCTACATCTACAAACAAGGAGACATCAATACCATGGAGTGCCCAAGAGCTACGTACACTGGTCAGCCAACAAAGGGCAGTGGTTTGGTAGCACAGCAGAGCCCAAACTGGCTTCCCCCACCACCCGTACGACTGTTCGTGTACAAAGCAAACGAACTCTTGAAACTCTGGATTATCATTACTCTGAAAAGACTGACTGTCAAATGCTGATTTGCAAGAGCTCCTGTAACAGAAATACTTCTCCTTACCTGTTCATAATAAATCTGGCCTGGCGTTTTTGCTTTATTTCCTCCACCCTCTTCATTGCATCAACTGAAATAAAGCAGAACTTGGTTTAAATGTGCTTACATACCTACAGGTGGAAATAGATGCTATTCTGCAGAGCAACACGATCAGTATTCCCTAATATGTCCATTTCAGAGGCAAACCTTACACTACAGAGTAAGTCACTCCTTCTTCAAAGAGCAGGGTAGGGGAATATCCTGTGTCCCAACTATGATGAACTCCATTTTATAACTCATTTATGTTTCCACTTTAGAGCCTATGCCTATTTTCCACCACTACACAAGACTCTCACCCCACTGGAAATCGTATGCAAGTCACAAGCTTCTCCTTTGTGGCATGCATTCATGATGTAAGCAACTCTTCCACTTTATAGTGTTTGATTTATTAAAACAAACTGAAGTGGAATGAGCAGGAACAAAGAAACACCTGCATCAGTATAAAAGGCTTACACTGGGAGCCTCTTAAAAAGCTGGAGAATCACTAAGGTTTTCAGAAGATTGTACTCACAAGAGTAACACTGCACCCCATTTTCTAACCACTTTCTGAAAAACATAAAATCAAGTGGAACTCCACACCTGTTCACAACTCAAACCTCCTCCACAAGTAAGAATTTGATCATGACACCAGTGATTCCAAACACAACCACTACGAAGTGTCAATCTCTAAGAAGTCTTCCAAAAACATGTTCATGTAGAATCAAAGTTCACCTCCAAGAGTTCATATTTTGTTTTTTTCTGAAGTGACTCACCAGTCTTGTTCCACAGCTCTCTCTGGTATTTCACTGGTTCATTTCTACGTTTTTCAAACTCAAATGAATTATCCTGTATTAAGCAAAAGTAAATATAGATTATAGAAAGAAGCATATTTAGAACAATAAATTCTTAACTAAAACTTCATCTTTTTAGTGGTGTTTGTTTTCCTGTTGAGAATCTCAGTTCTCATACTTTAACAGCCTTTAGATATTACTAAACTGTAAGGAAATAGAGTGGAGTGTTTGACCTGAAAGTGTCAGAAGCCACAGTGATTTGTCTGAAGAGAACTATTTACCAAAACATACCCCTCAGCTATGTTTTTAGCAAGACAAAAGGAACAGAGAAGACCAATGTGGAATAGGAAAGAAATATAAAGCAGACTAGACAGGTGGAAGGCAAAACTGAAAACACGTAGAGTCAAAAGCATTAATGCAGGCCAAGTAAGTTCTACTCAACAGCCTGTAATTTTGAGAACACTGACACAATATAAAATCATTTCAAATTGTGAATATTTCAATTTATGGCATTGTAGTGTTTGGGGCAGATGGAGGTTTTGCTTTTTGTTGTTTGTTTTTTTTTCCCCAGGACTTTAAGATGGAAAGACAACTGCCTGCAAAATAACCAAAACACAAGTCACAGAGCACACCATGTGCCCAACATGTACATGCCATCATTATTCTTGCAATTTCTTTTTTAAAATCACCTTGAATTGATCTTTGGCCAAGCGTGACACAGCACCACATCAATTCACTGCAGTTCACCCTAAACTGTGTCAGCTTTTATGTATTTATAATACACAGCATTGCTTTTTAACATGAGAATACACCACAAACGGAGATAAGACTCCTAAGAGCACAGATCTTCCAAGTGCCATAGTCTTCTAAACTACATGCACGGAGATCAACTACAGCTGCCTCATACTGGACAATGGATCTTTTCAATTCCAAAAATAAGGGGACAGAATGACCAACTCTTCATTCACTTTCAGTGAGAGAATAAAACAGTTCTTCAGAAGTGAAAAACCTCCTTACTTTTCTTTTTTGTTTAATAAAAAACCCCAAACTTGAAACACAGGAGAACAAGTAAACATATTTAACTCTATCCAACGTATCTGTTTAAAGCAGCAAGAACTGTCACCTTCTCATGAACTACAGTATTTCCCATTGTCACAAGCCTGTTTAGACACTCTCCCCCCAAAGCTGGCTTATGAACGAATGGATACCAACCAAACTACAATACGGCACTTTGTTTATACACTGTCTTAATTCTTAGCATGTGTAGATAAATCTCGAAATTTGAGCATACTGTCACCTACTTAGATACATATAAAGGAATTCTAACTTAAGTTCTTTTCAAAAAGGTAATTCGACTTAGCCAGAAACAACATGAATGCAAGAAATACAATTACAGAAGATGCTAACTAATCATGACTTCTCAGAGTCACATTACAAAACAAAATAAAATCACCTTCTTTTCCTTGGAAGATCCACAGAAGGTGGGAAAAAAACGCTTCCTAAATTGTTAGTATTCTGTCAAAAACAGGTAATTAAGTCACAGTAATTCTTGAGTTATTTACTGACCGTCTGACCAAATATAAGTGTTCAGTATTTTTACCACTAAAGTAACTTTGCCTTGAAATTGTTTTTAATACCCCATATGCTGTTTTGGGAACATTCCTATCTATTCCAGGACTTTTCCTATACACTGTATGCTTTAAGGAGACTTCATAAGGTTTTTACTGTCTTATGTGTCTACACAGAGAGACTTCCTGGGGTACCTTACTGTTCTGGTTCTGTGTAAAAAGGGGTTCAGGGCAGGACCCACACAGAACAGAACGATGTACTACCCTCTCTCCCCCCCCAAGAGAGAGAGAGACTTTGGAAAAAAAATTGAAGTATATTGTTTAACAAGGAACAGAAAACGAAAAAGGGAGGTAAGAAAAAAATAATATATACAAAGATTAGGGGAAAATACAAAAAAAATAATAAGCAAAATATATAAAACCCTCAGAAATAGTTCCAAGGTCCCATGGAGTGAAAGCACAACTTCCACCTCCGAGCTGCAGGGCAGGAGTGGAGTTAGCACCCACTTTCTGCCTCTTATCAGAGTGTGTGTGGGAAGGCGAGGGAATACAATGGTTCACCCCCACCCGGGGTCCTCCCAGGTGCTGGAAGGTCGCGTCCCCATTCCAAGCCTCAAACCACAACACTTACCCAGCTTATCTGACTGTGTGGAAATACAACTACCAAATGTGTATGCACAGAGAGTATAAGATTTAGAGATGCAAAGGAAAAAGAAAAGCTTTGGACTTGAGAATCATCCTGTATTACTGGCGTAGACACTGACACACTGGCTTCCCTACCGAGGCTGAAATGGAAGTCCCACGTTATGGGCAAGCGGAACAAACAGCTCCCTCTCAAGGAAACTCTCACATCCTCTTCCACAATCCCTCTTTTCTCCACTTACCCGATCCCTCATGTTCATCTAATTAAGTGACAACACATTAAGCTAGCCAACCTGTTTGCAACCGAAAGAGGGGAGACTTCTGCCATTTTAGTGAGCTAAGGTAAAGCGTGAACTAGTTCAGCTTCTTACCACTGTCAGCTCCTTTCCAGCTGCCTTCCGGAATGCTTTGGTCCATCTCATCTTTCTGGGATTTCGCTTCTTTTTAAAGTTTCTGTGGCATTTTGATTTGCAGAATCTAAATATCTTAAAGAATGAGAACACAAAGAAGAGCTTAGAGTCAAGTCATGTTATTTCTGTCTCACTGCAAGCATCGTATCAAACTCTGAATTTTCTCTATCAATACTACTCATTGAAAATTACATTCACCTTTCAATTCTCAATATTTTTAGTTCAAATATAGGTATTAACAAAAGTAATTTCAAGCATAATATATATACACAATGTATTTCCATTATAAAGTCATTTTCACAGCTGTCAGGGACATGCACAAATACTTACAAATAAGCTGATTATAAAGAAAATATATTAGAACAGTGGGAATGATTTTCTACAAAAAACAGCTATAAAACCAAACCTGTACTATGAATAAACAATTTTCTATACCTGTCAGCACATTTTAGATACAGTGCCATCCTGACAATGACAAAAAATCCTCACACCTCTCATGTAACATTTCTGAATGCAATACACATAGGCATACAAAAAAGACCATCTTCTGGAATGCTGCTTTAAGCCTTACAGATTACCCTGAAGCAGGAGTCCTAAGCAAATTAGTTAAGTCCTGGACTCAATTTACTGAAAGCTGTTAAAGCATATGCCAAAACATTCTAACACAGCCTTTTTTTTTTCTTTCCATTTTTCTACATATTCTATAGAATGCTAGTCATGTTTTAGGCACCTGCCACTTCTAGCCATGAAAGTGCTTTATGTTCATTCACGTGACATTTTCAGATCCGTTAGATATGCATGAAAGAAGCTTTACAATCTATACTTGAAATTTATCTTTTATTAGTATTGAGATCATGAAATTAACAGCCAAGCTAAAGAACCCTCTATCCCAAGCGACCCCAAATCCAACGGACGTTATCCCTTCGGAAGGAATATGCATGAAGATGGCAGTACGATAAGGGAGATAGTAGATGACACACACATGACAATCATATCCCTGTTTACAATTCTTACATCTCTCCTAAATCTCTGCATCACTTTGAACTATCCTGGGCTGTTTAATACCCAAAGCAGAGCTGAAACTTCAGTTAAGAACACTCAAAATTATTCATGGGTTTTTGAAAACCCTATTTTTCTTTAACCATACTGTCCTTACTACCTAATAGCCACATCTAAAGAAAATGAATAGAAAATATGAAACCTCTAGTGAAAGTAATCATCCTCAAATAGTACCTTTTTCTTTTTATACATTCTTCAGCCACATTTCTTCATCTTAAACAAACCTGCCACTACATTTTGCTCTTTCATAATTATCTGTTCACAACTAACCTGCCATTGTGTTTTATTTAAAAAAACAAAACAAAACAAAAAAAACCAAACAAACAAACAAACACAGCTGCAGCTATTTCCTAGTAAATGGAACTGAGTCAATCTACATCTAAATTCCCACAAGCTGTGACTCCGATGAGAAGTACAGTTAAGCCAGTGTTTGTTTTGACGTCTGGGCATGGGAAGGTAGCTATCTGTGTAAGCTTCATTTCACACCGGCGTCTCCAATGCCCCATAGGAGTGACACGGAGTACAGCAGAGGCTGGGAAACTCTACACAATATTCTATGTACAAGACTGTCACTACAGTGTAAAGCCCAAAGTGCTACGTGCGTGCGGTTATGACAGCCTTAAATGGATAAGTCACATCAGATAGCGGAGTTACAACTTTTAGTAGAGTACCACGACAGACATAAACCATTCGCTTTAGCATACGGTGTTCCTAAGCTCGCTTCCTGAAAGCTTTAGAATCACCTGCTGTGAACCTGAATCCTACGCTTCTCCAAGACCAGAAAATGAAAGGGCGCAGATTCTGTGTCGCTCTGCGAGGCAAATGTCTTAGCAAGAACCGCAACCAGACGGCCCGGCGCAC